GCATCCGACTGAAGAAATTAAGCGAGGATGGAATCTTCTTTTACACGTCTTTGTATACACCTCGAACACCTATGTACATGTTGAGGCCCAAATCCGCAGGAAATTCTTCCCGGGTGACAAGCTTAACTTCCCTGTATTTTCTCAGCACCAACGTTAGAACATTATCTGGCACCTCCGGTGGTAAATCGTACATATTGAACGTCGCCCCCCGCAGGCGACATTCGTCCTTCCACTGCCTTTCTATTAGCATAATGGAAAGTTAATTGCTCCGGGTTATGCATTAGGGCATAATGCAATCCAATATGTGGCGTTCACAGTTCGATATGTAGTGTCAACAGAATTCGTGTCCAATGGTTTTACGAAATTTGCAATCTCGCCCATGGTGCGCTTCGCACTTCCGTTTGGATAGGCAGAACATGACCATTATTGTTTTTAGACCGTTATTGACCGAGCTGCAGGCAATGAAGAAGGCGCACCAAAAGAATACCGTGATTGAGTAAACAACTGTTAATAGCACGATCGACACCGAGAAAAACAAGTGTTGCTGAGTCCACCAGCTGGAAGCAAACTCATGGCCCTGGACTTGGATAAAATTTTAAGATTCTGACATTATAAATCATTGGCAAGAGAATTCTGATGAAGAAGGATTTTTGAGGATAGTTTTAAAGGAAATCTAGAGATAATTCTAAATTAACTCTAAGGAGGATTACGGTGGAATTTAACTAGAAATCTCAAGAAATTTTGTGAAGCATCTTATGAAAATTGTATTTAAAGATGAGTTTTAGGATAGTTCTGAAGAGACTATTATGGGGATTATGAATATAATTTCAAGCAGGCTTGCAATTGCTCATTACAGCTAAAATGCTATTTTTCGTTATTATGAAACAATGGGATACTATAATCATAATTTTTATTTTTAAGATGCAAGAAGAGGTGGTAAAGATTGTATATGACATATAAAATTTGTCAATTTTACTTTCAGAAGGTCACAACTAGCGATTTTATGATCGCTGATTGCTTGCTCATCGCGTTGCTCATCGTTACAGCTAACTTGACTACATGACTACAATCCTGAAACTACGCCTAATAATCACCTACGACTGAACATCTCTTAAATGTTGATCAATGAATAAAATAAAGATAAAAGCTGAGCTGCAAGGAAATATGGATAATAGTTCCATAGAATTCTAATTCTTAAAATAGCCCACACAATTAGTTGCTGAATTACATGCTAGTTTGAAGATAGTTTCAAGAAAATTTGAATTTTGGCAATAAATTGTGAGCCTATTTCTAAAGAAACTATGAGAGTGCATCAAGAGAAACGATCCTCTTAAGGGAATTTTGGGAAGAAATCTGAGATTAAATCCAAGGAAATTTTGGGGAATAGATTTATTAATTCTAAATGGCATACCAAGAGATTTCATAGGAATATTCCAAAAAATTTCTTAAGAAAATTATGGAGAGAAATTTAAGATTTTCTATTTATATGCTTCTATATTTCTAGACTATTAAGAATGCGAAGATAAATTAAGAATTAATTTAAAGAGTTTTCTAGAACGACTAAAGTGACTGTTATGGAGAAAATTTCTAGGGAATACTGGGCAGAATAAGACTATTGAGGAAAATCCTCAAAGTAAAAGTTATTGTTACACTCCTGCGGAGTGTTCCCGATAAAATCTCTGATCACACCTTCCTTAAGGGAAGTAAAGCCGTTGGTCCCCGGTCGATGAGTTGATAGGTAGGGTCCAGGTGTGGGAGCTGCCTCCCTGGCGTCGGTAGGATTGGTGCTCAGTAAGGAAAACAAGATCGAACGAAAACATCCCTGACAAAAAATTACCATAAACGAATGATAACCCAAATCATTGAACTATTCCACAACGAACACGTCGTTAAGCAAATTAACCATACAATTTTTACTAGGGGGAAACCGAAAGAAAAAATACATTGAAATTAAACAATTTTGCAAACAATCAATGAAATTGTCAAGGACTGTCACAGACTTATCATCGTCGGTTAGTGCTTATTCCTGCCACCAGGCGTGCAGGAGTTTAAGTTTGTGTTCTATATGCACTTCCAAAGTTATTAATTGAGAGCTTTATAGAGCTATAGTATACTTGTGTGGCAACAAGTACCCTAATAAAAATAACCATAACGACGTGTTTGGGGTATCATCCAAACCATTTGTGGGATAGTTTACCCATCCGGGATACAGTTAGTTTATGGTATTTGTTTATTAGGGTACAATTTGACGTTAAGGAAAGGCTTAGCAAAGCATCTGGCTCCGTGTTCGCGGGAAATATTTAGCTAAGCCATGAACCTGCATGCAAAAGTTATGAGTTGGTTCGTGTCTGATCTATTCTGGACAAATTATTTTTATCTAGATCAAAAAATCCTATGGTTTTGACAGTTCGGGTCACTGCACATTTAAATCGGCCGTTTACGCTTTTCGGGTCAGAATTAAGTGTCATGTCGGTTTGTCGGTGATACTATGTCCAGGAAAGTTTTATATTTTACAAACTACGCTACCTAGTAATGGATGAAAGATACATGGGTTTATTGCTTCAATACATGATGTTTTACATAATTAAAATCTCAAAATTGAGCAAATATTTCCAACTAATACCTGTGATGATATTCTACATATTTTGAAGAACATTTCTAGATAGAGCTGGAATTAGGACGTAACAGCTTTTGTAAACAATGACTTCTTTCGATGATTTCTAGAAAGCTAAGGCTCGCAAACGCAAATCTACAACACCATCGTGTAGGGAAAGACTTCCCCTACCCGACGGTTACATTGGTTTGTGTGGGCGTGCCTTGAGTTCCTAGAAATCATCGATAGAAGTCATTGTTTACAAAGGCTGTTACGCCCTAATTCCAGCTCTATCTAGATTTTAATTAATTACTGCGTGGGGGTTAATCAAATATTTAAATTTTTAGTATAAGTATGACTTTAAAATCGGCATTTCTTCAGTAACACATCAATTGGGTTCTTTAATTTTGAAAAATACATCCGTTTTTATACATCATCTGAAAGAGCTCCGTTTTCTGAGCACAGCGATATTTTTTTCGAACCCACACACTTTCATCTCGATTTTTAAATCAAGATTTAAAGCAAAATAATAACTTCACTGTTTGACACTAAACTGACAAACTGACACCTCGCTCCCATACAAAGTGACACCGAGGGGCGCGAATAAGGTGATTTTTGCAAATGTAATCATACTTATTAAAAATAGTTCCAGTGTACCAAAATTTATGAAATTTTGGGTTTGGGTTCCATTTTTTATGCAGATTACGAATATGCATTTACCTCAATACCCTTAAAGAACCCAATTGGGTTCTTTAAGGGTATTGAGGTAAGTGCATATTCTGCATTAAAAATGGAACCCAAACTCAAAATTTCATCAATTTTGGTACACTGGAACTATTTTACAATTGCAAAAATCACCTTATTAGTGCCCCTTGGTGTCACTTTGTATGGGACCGAGCTGTCAGTTTGTCAGTTTAGTGTCAAACAGTGAAGTTATTATTTTGCTTTAAATCTTGATTTTAAAATCGAGATGAAAGTGTGTGGATTCGAAAAAAAATATAGCTGTGCTCAGAAAACGAAGCTTTTTCAGATGATATATAAAAACCGATATATTTTTCAAAATTAAAGAACCCAATTTGAGGTTTTGAAACATTGTATGTTTGAAGAAGTTTTTAATTACATAAAATGAGCCAACATTGCTGAAGACTGCGCCATGCTATCGGGCAAGTCTGTGAATGTACAATAATGCTTCACATAATCAGCCCTGTTCTGTATTTCGTTCGAAACGAAATTCTCATACAAAAAAATATTTGTTTGTATGGGAATTTCGTTTCGAACGAAATACAGAATAGGGGTGAATACCTGTGGACGAGGATTTCCATAGGAAATGGTAAACTTTGACGACTTCTGTAGTGTTGTATAACATTTTTAAGTCAAAAATTGTCAGTTAAAAAGGACAAAAATCCAAATTATGAACGACGGCTTCATCTGATGCGTTTTTTTCCAAACTCAAAGCTTCTCTGAAGACACCAAAATCAATTAAACTTCATCTTCATGCACTTATTATTTTTGTTTTTTTCCTGAATTTCACCCTTCTGGACTGGACCACGGTGCAGCGTGCTGGAACTCGGCAATCACATCTGTACCTAAGTGTCTGTTTGTTAATATTTTTTGCTGACTCCAATCGAAAGAATTGTCCAACATGATTGAAAACGTTTTTTACATCGCTTCAAACTTCTTAGATCGGTGTGAATATTAATGTCACACATTGTGCCCTTTCCATTTGAACTACGTGTGTGTTAGATAACATGTTCTGTTATCGGCAACTCGTAGCATTTTTGTACTGCGTGGTATTTAACATTTAAAGAACAACCTGATCTAACGCGTATGGTCTGTCGTAAAAACCGAATCAAATTAAAGCTGTAAAACTAAAGAATCGTTCAAAAACATTCAGCTGTGTGTGGACGGCTCCGGCATAGTGGTCAAAAACCTTAAAAAACCATACTGCCGTTCTTCGCATGTCGGTCCTATTGTCGTTTTTGTCAAACCTGAGTATTTCAATGCAAATCGTAGCTAATAACCAAATTTTCACAATACTGGATAAACTCAACAACTTTGTTCTGAAAATGTTTGGATAGACAGTCAAATTGATTGTCCCATCAGCATTGGTACGAAGCAAACTTAAAACACGATTTTCTCAGCTTGCTGATTTTCGCCATGTGACATGCGAAGTGTGGCAGCATACCTCTCACTCCAAAGTCACGAGTTCAAATCTCAGCAGTAATGAATTAGTGTTTTAGCGAGAAAATCCAGTGAAAGCGGTCATTTGCTGTACGTAATTTTAGTATGGTGTTGGTTGGTTGGGTGACGTTCACCCTCATTCTAGTAGAATCCAGAATTTCCCAATTATAAAACAAAGCATGAATGTGTGAATCAATCGAAGTCTCCAACAAATCAAGCGTCTTACCTGGAACCTCAATCTCATCTGGGTCTTCGTCGTCGTCGAAATCCGATCCGGAAGAGTCATCATTCTCCTTCTCATCTTCGTAGCCATAAGACGATTTGTTGGTGGCCTGTCAATGAAGAACATAGCAGCAGCATTAGTGACACTTTGAAGAAAAGGGGGGGGGGGAATCTAGATATAGATGCATATAGCAGTACAATTTCAATATATAAACCGTATTCGTCGTCGCTCGCAAATGGTAAGCCTAATTATTCAACCGAAAGCTAAATAAGCTATAAACATCGCGGTTTAGAATTGCGGTATCATGAGACATTGTCCTATGTGCGTCTTACAGGCAGTATCGAACAGAAGTAAATTGCAAGCGGGGTTGTCTTCCGTTTATTCTACACATGGGCTATCTTGATCTTCTCATCTGGGCCTACAACAGAAAACCCGCTGCTGATTATGTACCTATACTTAATGCACTGGCCGGCGTGTGGCGTCCCTGATTTCAATATCAATGCATTTCGCATAGGGCAAACCGGGGTGCAGTCAGTGCATCAACTCAGTATTGCTATTCCTTAGATAAACATAATATCAAATTATGGCACTCTTCGAGTGTGGAGAATTCAATGTATAACATGTTAGTGTTTGGCTGAAACGCTTTTACAAAGCTCTAATCTTCTCTAGTGAGAGCGAGTATTGTCGGCAACCAGTTTTTCTTCGGCAACCGTTCCATTTGAACTGCATGTAAATCTGCTGTTCTATTATCGGCAGCTCGAAATCAGCTACAATTTGTAGTGCGTGTGTTTCATTTCAAGAAAACCTTGCTAGATTGCTTTTTCTCAGTGGTAAAAATATAGTCAAATTGAAGCTGAAAGCATAAAGAATCGTTTGCATGCATTCAGCGAAGTGTTTTCGTAAGAAAATCCAGTGAAAATAGTGTTTCAATTTGGGTTGCCGAAAATAGTCTGGCATGTCGAACCCGTCATTTCCCCTATATATCTTCATTAAGGAGACTTTCAGCCCTGGGCTGGTTCGTCTCCTTGAATGTTAATGGTTCTTAACAACCCATTATTTGTAAGGTTCAGTTAAAAAAAAATCATAATGCATGGGGTTAAAACTTTATCACACAATCGTTCATGTAAAGTTCCATTACCAGCCTAGTAAATAAACGAACTAGTTAAAAAAACATTCCAGTTAAAGTTTAGCAGTGTAGTCCGTCAACACTAAAGGGTGAAAAGAAGAAGCACCTTCGAAGAAAAATTGGACTATGAGCAAATGTTTACCCATTAATGAATAACTTTTACTCATTTGTGTACTGACAATTACTCATTATCGGGCAAAATTTACTCATTTAAAGGGTACTCAATTTTTTACTCAAATATACATTACGTACATTATAATCATTATTGAGTATTTTGTGGTTAACGTGTAATATCTTAACTTCAAGATCAAGACAAATTCAAAACAACTCCACTCCAATATTTTGCCCCAACTTCTGATACGAAAGCCATATGTCCTGCTGAATGTGTTATGCTACTTCCTTCCACTTCCTCCGGACCGCGCGCGATGAGCGATTATTATGTATATACATACAACGTGCAAACGGTGTGGTGAGCGAAAATGTGGGAGCCTCTTTCCAAATACATGCTGGCGGCGCTAAGAAATTTTCCTTCTAAGCGACCAGGCTGCGATCGATAAAGCGACGCCACACCCTGGAAATGGCCAGGACGGATAATTTACAAAATTATCTACGGAAACATTGCGTTCTGGAGGGAATATCTTGAACCAGCTGAGCAGGTGTTCCCGACCCTGATGACATTTCCGATCGGCACTCTTCTGGCTTTGTTTGTGTGTATGTGTCAACTTTTTTCTTGGTTATGTTGCTTTTTATAACATTTTCTAATTTTTTTCTACTTCTGCGACTTTTGCATTTCACTTTATTGACGCATCAAAATAAAAAAAATCAGCATCAAGCATCACGACCAAAAGAAAATTAAAGAAAAACAATGCATTGCTCGTAAGATAATAACAGAAAAAGTAAACTCACCATTCTGTTCATGTTTTTTTCCTCCTTCCCTACAAGAAAAAAAAAACTTCACTTTTTAGCACTTTCCCGAATTCCGTTCACTTTATTCGCGTTTAACTCAACAGAATACACTTGCAGTTACACAATCCCGATGAAAAACTTCCAAAAATGTGACGATAGAGCTAAACAATCTCTTTTTCCACTTGCAGAAAAATGAAAATCTTTTTTTATCAACCCGTGAGCCTACTATGACCAGTGCGTTTGACGTTGCTGTTATGCGACCGTCCCGAGCTGTCTCCTGAATGAAACTGACGATAATGCTTTTCTCATTCACGTCTCATCGACGGTGCTTTCGGAACTCCTCACTCCTCAGCACAGCATCGACGCTGCGAGTGTATGAGTGAAACTTTTTTTGTTTTGATTTTGAAGCTGTCGAACTGGTTTTGAAACACTGTCACAAATCTTATTCGAAATTTCCGCGTGGAATACACGGACATAAAAAGTAACTCATAGGCTGAGTCAAGTTAACTCACTCTCTTTTTTCTCATAAAAATTGGGTTCTTTGAAGGGCCACCCACATTAAACGCTGTCCAGACTGGAGAGTTATAACATGTTACAACGGTTGTCAAATAATTGCAACATAGAAACCACCATCAAGATAGCGCTATAACATGTTATAACGCTGTAGTCTGAACGTACTATCAGACTACAGAGTTATAACATGTTATAGTGCTATCTTGATGGTGGTTTCTGTGTTGCAATTATTTGACAACCGTTATAACATGTTATTACCATAGAGGTAACTCTAAGACCACTGTGTCCCGAAGAAAATCATTATTATTTTTGGCTCACTCAGTACCAGAACAACGGTCCCAAGCAGTCCCAAGCTATTTCACTCACCCCTGCATGTTCTGCATGAATCCACACACCCCTGATGTTATCTGTCAAACTTTCATAGCGAATCAAAACAAACATAGTGTAGTAATAGAATTTCAACTAGAATAGGGTACGTTAATCGTTTGCTTGGGACCAATAGGCTACTAAAGTGGTGAGCCAATTTAAAATCGTTAGTTTCGTATTGATTGTTGTTATTACTCTCCAGTCTGGACAGCGTTTATGACTGCTCATTGCAAGACAGCCTATATTACGTGATATAGGCTGTAATGTGAACGGGGTATAAATTTCAGAAAATATGTTCAGGTTTGAAATCATCTGCCGATTAAACAGAAGACGAAGTCAGCCGACTAAATCCATCGACGAAAAACTATTAAATAGACCGATTGCTCGGTGTATCACCAGACGAAAAACGATTTAATCTGCTGATTAATACACCAACTGAAATTAATTACAAGTGGCAATAGATTTAGTCGGTTGACAAATCGGTGGATTTGGATGATGTTTGTTTATTTGGAAGATATTTTCGAAACAAAGCACTTTAAAATTCAGCATTTCATACCATTATTAAGAGCACTACTTTTTTGATCGAATCGTGTTTTGACTTCCACAGAAACTCGCTAGAATAAATAGAAAACTAATAGTTTTCGGTCGCAATTTCAAACATGGTTTCCATTTGACACATTATCGGAGTTATCACCGCTGCTATTGCAGCGCCCCAGTGGCCAATTCAAACTTGGATTTGTCAATTACATTAGCAAAAATCATCATCTTAGCGCCCCTCGGTGGGATCTTCTATGGAAGCAAGCTGTCAGTTTGTTAGTTTAGTCGAGAGCTTAGTTAGTTAGTATCAAACAGTGAAGCAGGCAGTGAAGTTATGATTTTGTTCTAATTCTTGAATTTAATTCGAGATGAAACCGTAATTTACAAATACCATAATCGAACAATAACCCAAATAGTCGAACTTTTCCACAAATGGTTTTAATGTTACCCTTTGGGGACACCACAAACACGTCGTTAAGAAACATAACCATGAAAAATTAATTAGGAAGTCGATGGGTTCAAAAATAATATCGTTGTGCTTAGAAAACGAAGCTCTTTCAGATGATGTGTACACGTGTATACATTAATAAAAATTCAATGATTATTTTTAAGTATCCCACACATGAACTTTTGCAATGTGATAAACAAATGATATATATGTGGCGGATACATAGTTCTTATGTGTACACATAAAATACATGTGTAACCACACATACTATTCATTTGACTTATAAATTTCATGTGTACTTCTGAGTGGATTCTGTTTTTGCACAGACAACAGACGTCCAACTTCCACCAGAAACTTGTGTAAATATAAGCGGGAACGTCGCCATTGCGTAGCGCTAGCATCTCCTGATTTCTTCTATAAATTTTCCACTTTCGACCAATTTGGCGCTAGTATCGATAAATTTCCGGTTGAAAATTACCACTCAGCACTATCGGCACTTAGTGTCTAGTGTAAGTTGTGCAACACCAGCGCCATCATGTTGTCAAAGATGGTTTTTAAGTGGGGAAGTCGATGTTGAAAATTATTATATCATTGTTGCTTTCCACTTCTGACATAGCGTTATCATTCTGTTCGTTGATCGCTTGTCATTTGGAAATATTTTTGATTCCTTGGTTTCACTTATACATTTTTTGCCAAAACATCAGCCTTTTACTTTTCATAAGATAAACCACATAGGTCTTGTTAGAATGCATAAAATGAATGTGTGACCGCTTATACATTTTATTTGACACATGACCTTCATTAACTTTGCAGGGCGTCTGCTTATTAGTTGACTTATACATTTTATGAATAATCATCAATACAGGCATAACATTTGATAACGACATAAAAGCATTTGTAAACAAACTTTCTAAGGCCCTTTACACGCGAACCAAAGTACGCCCTTGCAAACCAATACCACTTTCGGAAAGGTGATAGTTGCCCCTATGCGATGATGTTGTTGGTTTGCGTGGGCGTACTTTGGTTCGCGTAGAAAGGACCTTAGAAAGTTTGTTTACAAATGCTTTTGTGCCGTTATCAAATGTTATGCCTTAATATAAATTTGCCAAAAGTTATAATGAGATTTGTATCCGTGTAGTCAAAAGTAGGTAAAAGTGAACCGTTGGGGACTTTTTTATTAGCGTGCAGGTCTGTGCCACGAATGGGAAAAAGAGAACTTGCCATCTCTTTCATTCCCTCGGTTTTATATGGATCTGTTCACTCGATGTTGCGTTAAAACAGCATGAGAATGAAAGAGATAAGTTATCCGCAGTGCCGGACCTGCTTTCCTTGACACGGGCTGGTTGTCAGTCATTCTGTCAGATCCTCGCTCGCTTATCCAGTTTCCAGTTTAAGTGGGTGGTGGAAAACATCAAAGTGGGGTGCTTTCGTGTTTTGTATCGGGGAATTTTTTCTACCGTCATAGATTTCCATCTCCGTTTACTGCGCAAAATGTTCTAATCAAACCCTGGATCGGCGAGTAAGTATTTATTTCTCGACTGCGGAAACCCTGGCAAGAATATTATTAATACATGTACATATTTTATTCCGCAAAATATGGGTCATTCGTTGCGTAACATATTGCACTGACAATCTTTGATCAGTTAGCGTTCATCAGTTAGGTCTGCATTAGTAGACCTTATTATATCAAATACCTACTAGGTACATGCATATAATTCCACTTCCTATAGAACTGACAATCTCTCTTTCTACTGGCAAATGTTTTGTCTAGGGATATCCGCAGTCAAGACCATAAATGCGTCATCAATATTATCAGAGAGGTATGTTTTCTATAAAATAGATAATATAGGTAGGGTAGATTTTCGAAACAACCTATAAACCATTCGTCGCTGCTCTTCATTGATTTCCCGGATTTCACTTCTTTCCAATCAGGGTGATGTGAAGGACGAGTCACCGTCATGTTTTGTCTACCTTACACATCACTTAAATAGAAGCAATCATTATCTCTGTTACTGCTAGTGATGTAAACAACACATGCATCACGAGTACTAAGCATGCATGCAGATAATGCTGAATATAAAATATGACGGTGAATCGTTATATATCGCCCTAGAAACTGTTGAAATCAACGAAGGGCATTGGCGAGTGTTAGTTAAGATGTTTTGAAAATTTTCTCTATAGAGATGATTGAACGAAAGCTCTCCGGTCAAAGTCCAAAAAAGATATATCATTTGCCATTGATTCCGTTTGGTTCTAATCCCGTTGGCAACCAAAGTAGCAAATTCCGTAAACCTTTGTTACCTAGTTGTAGTCATTAATTTGAAATTTCTATTGCAGAAATACAGCTATGATATAGGGCATAGGCTGTTGCTAAACGCATGACTGGATCGGCTGAACGATATTTAACTGAACTAGACTGTCTTAATTAGATAGTCCGCGTGGTGAAACAAACGAGAGGCAAAGAAAAAACAACGACGCAACAACTCAACCGAAACAGCTAATACGGCTTACCGCCACGATTAGAAGACGGACTGAAAAAAATAGCAAGATGAGTGGAGCAATGAAAACGGACCCCAAAGGTTGCATCTTCCCGCTCCTGTATTCGTTGGGATCCTTCGGATTGGCCTGTGCTAGTTTGTGGGAGCTGAAACCCTCGGACAGAATCACAGTACAGAGAGGAGCTCTACTGATCAGTTTGGGGTTTGTTTACTTCATAGCTCTTACCGAGTTCCTCAACAAACTGCTATTGCGAACGAGCGTTGGACTGAGTCTAGTCAAAAAGTATAGACTGAGAATTTCCGACGTCTTGGATATTACCAACAAGTAACAAAACATTCTATCCTTAATACAAATCAACCGATTAATCTAGAATTGCACATCTTTTTTTCCACACAGAATCGTCTCGGCTGTCCAAGCAACATTTTCTTGCGCCGCCGGGTTCATTGTGTGCAGATGGTCATGTCCACTCAACTTTCTACAGGCGTCTCATTTCCTGTCCGAGTCGTATGCATGGTTTGCTGCATCCTACTTTTTCTACGATATTTGGTCCATGTACAAAGTTTACGCAGCGGAAGCCTCTAACCGTATTATGGCTACATTGGGACTGGCTGCCAGCGGTGTAGCAAAAATTGGAAAAACCAACAACGATATAGCAGCGCAGACAGATGCTTCGGAGCAGAAACCCACCGAAGTACAAGCCCTAAGTGACATTCCGAGCATTACTAATGGAACGCTGAGCATTTTGTCGTCGGGAAAAATGGGAATCCCGAGCTTTGTTCGCTATTTGATCTCACACAAGCTGATGGTCTTCCATCATTTGTTCATCGGATCGTACGGTTTGGTGGTTATATCGGTAAAGCTTGTTTTACTGCCTTCCAGTGGCATTTTTTTTTAAATTAAATAAATGTTTATTCTTACAGTATCTTCGAGGCGGATTGGGAGACTGCGTCTTCAGCTTTATGTACATGATGGAACTTTCAACGCCATTTGTATCATTCCGTGGTATTTTGAGTATTTTGGGTCTGAAGGAAAGCAAGATGTACGTCATCAATGGAATGGTTATGCTGTTTTCCTTTTTCTGGTGCAGAGTATTCCTGATGCCGTACGTCTGCTATTATTATAGCCAGGTCGTGAATCTACCGTTCTTTGAGGTAAGTACACAAAGTGATATAGTAATTTATATTTTCCTTGTACACGGTAACCGCAAAATACCCAATAATGACTAAAAAAAGACTTGATATTTACTACAAAGTAAGCATTTTTGGGGGGGAACTGGGACTACTTTATTAAATAAGCAAAAAAAAACCCCCATTTATGAGTATTTGTTACTCACAAATGAATACTTACTATTTATTTTTGTAGTTGTAATTATTCTTAAATGGTTAAAATTTTACTCATTCAATGGGTAGTCCCAGTTTCCCTTGAAAATGCTTACTTTATAGTCATTATTAGGTGTTTTGCGGTTACCGTGCAGTGCACACAACTGCCCAACAGTAATATATTAATAATAATTTTAGTCAAGAAAAATGTCATCAAGATAGCCTTGTAACATGTTCGGTATAACTCCCTAGTCTGAACGCAGCATATGCTACTGCTTATACGCCAGTCAATTCGCTGGCCTTAATGTCCGGTGGGGTGGTCTTGAATTTCACTTGTAGGAGGCTTAATCACAAAAGTGATGCTTGCAGAAGAAAGAGTTAATGCTCCAAGAAATTCCTTGAAGACACTGAACCACTAAAATTCACTTTTCATCAAGGATTTGGGCCTCTTTTAATGTTGATCAAGGATTTGGGCCTCAGAAAATACTGTACAGTTGATGTGGCAAAAGTTTGATTCAGCTATGGTGAAAAAGTTTAATTGAGTATCTACTTTGACATTATTTGAGACAGTTTTTCGTCACTGCAATACTTACAAGGGTTTGATGCTCTTCCAAGCATCTTAGAGATACGAAGTCACTACTTATTTACTTAAGTAATATGAATTAAAGTTCTTCAGTGGTGCAAAGGGTTAACGTAACATATTTCCATCCTGAGCGGCAGCATACTATTGTCTTGATGGTTAGAAATAACCGGAACAGCAAAGTTTAAAAGTAGAATGGATTTTATTTAACGACTAGCTTGAGTGGAGTCTTGAACAGGAATAAAAAGTTTTTCACCGTTGTTTATTTAAGAAAACTTAGGTTGCTAGGGGTGACGTTCGGTCTCCAAGGAGGTGATCAGCACACTGCGTTACCGATTTACTCCAACACCCCCCCTGAATCGGTCAGTCCTAGGAGGGTCCTCAGTTCGCGGAAACGTCCAGGTTCCAGGGGCTTGGTGAACGTGTCCGCTATTTGGTTTGCTGTATCAATTGCTTCGATTTGAAGTCTTCCTTGTGCCACATGGTCGCGCAAAAAAATGGTGCTTTACATCGATGTGCTTGACACGCTTGCTTTCGGTGTTTGTGGCCATTGCAATGCACCCACGGTTGTCTTCGTACACCTTGAATGCCGTGTCCGGTCGAACTTGCTTCAGGTCTTCAAGGATTCCGTGCAGCCACAGCATCGTATACATCAGGCTGCCCAGCAATTGACAGTATGGATGCGACACAGGATTCGCAGCTTGTGGTGGCAGGAAACAGCCTTTCTCCATTGGGGTTTTGACATGGTTACAGTCTTGCATGCCGAACTTCGTCAGCACACGGTCCACAGCAGCTTCTTGCGCCAGGTACATGCATCCGGTGGCGCGGTCGTATCGGATCTTCATTCCAAGGAAATGATTAACCACGCCGCAATCCGTCATCTGGAGCTTCTTGGAAAGAGCACGCTTGATCTCCTTCACCAGGTCCAGTCGATCGCCAGCAATGAGCAAATCGTCCACGTAGATGATTATGTATACCCCCCCTCGATCGTCGATCCTGGTATATAGACAGTAATCATGCCGGGAACGGGTAAAGCCGAAATCCAGTAGAAGGTCGTTTAGCTTGTTGTTCCAACAGCGGGGGCTTTGCTTGAGTCCGTACAGCGATCGATCCAGCTTGCAAACGAAGTTCGGCGGTGCTGCAACTCCTTCGGGTATGGCCATGTAGACGTCTTCTTCAAGCTCACCGTAGAGGAATGCGGTCTTCACATCGAGTTGGTGAACGTGCATCCTTCGGTGGGTTGCTACAGCAAGAACGGTTCGTATCGTGGCTAACTTTGCTACGGGGGAATATGTTTCGTTGTAGTCGACTCCGGGCTTCTGTTGGAATCCCTTCGCCACCAAGCGCGCCTTGTAACGGATCGGTTTGCCATGCTCGTCCGGCTTGATTCGGAAGACCCATTTCGATTTGAGCGGAACCACACCAGCAGGGCATCTCACCAATCGCCAAGCATGGTTGTCCGCTAGCGACTGCAGTTCCTCACGGACCGCTTGCTGCCAAAGAGCTTCGTCGGCTCGTCCAGCGATCTCCTTGTACGCCTCCGGGACATCGAAGATCGAACGCTCGGCCTCATCTCGTCCAACGGAACCGTCAAATAGTACATCGGAAACGTTATGGGGAACATCTGCAGAATGGGATTGCGCGGCAGTGAAAATTTTTCCAACCAGAAATTCTTTCAACTTACCGGGGAGTCTGCGCTCCCGTTCGCTGCGCCTCGGGGTTTCCATTTCGAGGTTTGAACCACGGTCTAGTTGCGAAGGGAGCGCTCCGGTTTCTTCAACACCGTCGTCTTCAACCTCGCCTTCTTCATCATCAGTCAGGATGTCGTCATGTTGAGCCACCAGCGGCTCATCGGGTTGAACGGACTGTTCAGGGGTTTGCACGTCTTCCTCATCTTGATCCTCGAACTCGTACGGAGCAACAACCAAAGGAGTTTCGTCACGGATCTGGGTGGCAAACGGAAAACTGTTTTCATCGAACTTGACATCTCTGGCTAGGAATAACTGCTTCTTCTCTTTGTTCCACAGGCGGTAGGCGTTCGGCGCATAGCCGATCATCACAGCAGGCTTGCTTTTCGGATCCAGTTTCTTCCTCTGTGCCGTGGACACCCAAGCAAATGCTTTACAGCCGAACACACGTAGTTTACTAACGTCCGGCTTGTGACCAGTCCACATTTCCGCAGGAGTCTTCCAATCAGATACCGCGGTGGTTGGACTTCTGTTCGTCAGGTATACCGCCGCTAGAACCGCTTCATTCCACAGATTCTTCGGAGTTTGGGCTTCAATCAGCATCGCACGCACCTTTTCGACGATTGTCCGATTGAACCGTTCGGACACTCCATTCTGCTGTGGTGTGTACGCTGCGGTTGGCTCGACTTGGATCCCCTTGGAAAGGTACCAATCACGCTGGTCATTGGAGCAATACTCGCGCCCTTGGTCGACAGTCAGCTTCGAAATCGAATGTCCCAGAGCGGCACTCGCCATGGCCTCGTACTCTCGAAACTTCTGGAACACCTCGGACTTCTTCTTGATGGGATATACTACTGCAAAGTGCGTGTAATCATCAATAAAGGTGACGAAGTACCGAGAATCATCCCAAGCCGCTGGTGTAATTGGACCGCACACATCGGAGTGCACTCGTTCTAGAGGTCTTGTAGCACGGACTCTAGTACCCGTGAATGGTTCTCGGCACTGCTTTCCGAGAACACAAACATCACAAAAATCCAATTTATCTGGTTTCTCGGGAATACCTGTTACCATGCCATGCTTCGCGAGTGTCTGCAAACTCTTGCTCCCCAAATGAGCCAGTCGACGATGCCACAGGTTACCAGTCACAGCTCCACACATGTTGGCCGCCACCGTATCGACACGGAGATCGAGCTCGTAAAAATCGCCCCGCATGGGACATCTCGCAATCAGGTCACAAACTTGCTTCATGATCGCTTCCTTTTTCGTGAATGTGACATCAAGATCCGCTTTTGCCATCTTCTTCACAGATAGCAAGTTCGCTCGAAGATCTGGTACGAAGAGGACGTTCTTCAAGCTGATATAGTTACCTTCCTTGTTGACGCCGTTGATCGTGCCACTGTGCCGGGAAATCAGGGATTGATCATCCTTCGCCACGTTTATGACGACAGGGTGCTTCAGCTTCGTGAGGTCGGCGAAACAGTGCTTCACATTCACAAGGTGGTCCGAGACTCCGGAATCCAGCTTAAAGGAAACTGCTCCCTCGTCCTTTGTTTGGGAGCATCTTCCGGTCATAAAAGCCACCGCCTTACCTCCAGCAGCAGCGTTAGCTTCAGCGCGCCCATCTGTCTTCAACTTCACACGACAGTCCTTGGCCTTGTGCCCCTTCTTCTGGCAACGGTTACACTTTCCGGTGAACTTACCAGGCTTCTGCTTCGATCCTTGGAATGCTGCAGGTTTCTCTTGGCAGGAATCCGCTGCCCGGTCGGTTTTCTTGAGCTCCTTGGCAAGAAGGCGCTCGCGAACAACATCCAGTTTTAGGTTTTCCTCACCTAGATTTTCCAGTGCCGTAACCAACGGATCGAACGACTCGGGAAGGGTAGCAAACAGCTGGGACACAATATCGTTCTCTTCAAGCTTCGCTCCGGCCATCTTCAGTTGTCGGATCAGCTCTTCGAAGGTTTTCAGGTGATCTTTCACAGACGAACCTTCCATCATTCGTAGCTTCGCAAGTTGCTTCCTGACGAATGTCTGCGACGAGACGGACTTCTTGGCGTAGGCGGATTCAAGGCTCATCCACATCTCCTTGGACGTCTCCTTGTCCCGCACCAAATGCAGCAAATCGTCATGAACAAATGACGTCAGCAGGAACGCCGCCTTATCGTCATCTTCCTGGAACTTCGTGAGCTCCGCCGCTTCCATCGGAGGATCCTTCTTGATGATATCCAACAGCTTCACGGACTTCAGATACTTCTCCACTCGAAATTGCCAATTGTCGAAACCGGTGCCCGAGAACTGCGGGATCCCGTGGACCAAATCCTTGCGTCCGTCGCCCATAACCTCTTGATGGTTAGAAAGAACCGGAACAGCAAAGTTTAAAAGTAGAATGGATTTTATTTAACGACTAGCTTGAGTGGAGTCTTGAACAGGAATAAAAAGTTTTTCACCGTTGTTTATTTAAGAAAACTTAGGTTGCTAGGGGTGACGTTCGGTCTCCAAGGAGGTGATCAGCACACTGCGTTACCGATTTACTCCAACATATTGCTTTAATCTGGGCCCTCCAGGTC